GTCTGTTATGTACTGGTGAAGCAGGACACAATCTGTGGAAGGTGCTCAATGCACAGCAGAGACAGACAGATGGAGGGAGTCTCACAAAAGATGCTGTAATGTCAGGAAGTTATTTCTATTGCTGACTCACCAGGTGAGCTGAGAGGATGCCTGCTTCAGTGTGAAACAAAGTCAAAGGTAATAAAGTTTGATGGCTGAAAAAGAGCACTTCTTTTCCGACTGACAAGCTACAGAATGTGAGTCTGAAAATCAGAATCAGTAAAGTACAAATTGATTTATTTTTTTTAGTAAATAAACAAGACACAGATGCTTAAAATCAACAACAGCTATGCTGTACTACTGGCCCACGAGTTAATACCTATCAGACTACTGTGAAAGCCAGCCTGCAACCAGCTACAATATCATCACTTCTTTACAATGTCTTTACAGTTGGCTTATAGGCAACAAGCTCATGTCGCATCTTCAAAAATAGCTTGGCTGTCCAGGAATATAACTGGCAGCCCTTCACTACAGCTGAAATTCTTTCCTTGACCTCATTTAGAAAGTTATCCCAGCTCCAGCATGTACACTGAGCACCACAGCTTAAATGACAAAGAAATGCTAACCATACTGCATGTTGGTACGGGAAGGTGCATGTTCATAAATTTCAGAGACAAAAGATAAACAAAAACAAGCCCAAGAAAAATCACTGGCTTAAAAATAGAACCTGACTGATATATTTCTAATTAGGAGGAATACCGATACATTGGCTAATTCTTTTTTTTCAGACACATGAAACATATGCAGATTTTCCAGGATTTGATAGGTGTAGTTATTTACGTAGGCTGGTTGTGTTTAAGGGATTTGAAAGACTTGCCTTAACAGAAGTTGCAGAGTGCCCTCTGGTGGAGAAACACTGCAACATCAACACTCAAATCTGGCTGAAGGGTGTTTCTCCGATCTTCTTTCCCTTTTTTAAATGTTTATTTGTCAGTCATTATAAATGGTGATGCTGACAGAGCAGCAGACAGTTATCATTGTCCAATAGTATCGACCTGTCAATAAATCAGTCAGGCTTTATTTAAATTCCTTACAATATTCACTAATGTGTAGTTTTAAAGATGTCAAGGTAAGGCTGTAAACCTTTTGCCATTATTAACCTTTTTGATCAAATTGAAATCCTTAAATTGCATATTTTATTCAGCTTGTGGCCTAATAACAATAATGTGCAATTTAACAGAACAGAAAACAAATGAACAGAAGAAAAGAAATTATTTCATTGAAGAAATAAATGTCTTAGCAATGTTGTTGTATTGTAATACTGTTGTTGTATTGTTGCATTCACTGTTTTTCTGTATTACTTCAGTGGGTTAATAGATAAAAGTATGTCAATATATCAGCTCTAACACAGTGGAAATTATTTTGTTTAAACATTACAGACTGATCCAACATTGCAAACATTCTCCCACAATGTTTAACTTGCAAAAGTACATTTATTTGCTGGCAAAATGCCTCATGAAGGTCTAGCGCCAAAGCATCACAAATAAATAGAGTTTGTCCAAGTTAGATAGTGTGTGGGAGTCTGTGTCAAACATTGGATCAGTTTGTCCCTCTCCTATGCACCTGCCTCCTTAAATAGATGTTCTTATAGCAACAAAACTCATGTATAAACACAAACACATGAGAAAAAGCCTTTGGATACGAACTTAGAAACATTACTTTAAGATATAGACTTTATAAGTGGATTACTCTCATATAACTGGACAATTTAGGAAGTTCGATATTGACATGTCTGCTCTGACACTTAGAGATGAGATTTAAAATAAAAGTCAGTTCACAAATCTGAGCTATAAAAAAACAAGGGAGAGTGGCTGTTGTTTTACATCTATCCTTCTGTTTACCTGGCAGCCATGTGTAATGGTCCCCATGCTATTACGCCAAGACTCCAGGACCTGAACCCTATTGCTTTCTTGTACTTGTACTTACACACTTCTCCAGCTTTTCCTATTTGAACAACTATTACAAAGTATTTTTTCCTTCATAGCTGATTAAATGTCTAATTCCTGATTAAACCTACCGTATGTAGAGAAAGAGCTGGAAGGAAAATACGTTGTCACCCTCATGATTTACCATTTAACACACTTTAAAACTTTAAAGGCCATGCTACAACAGTATGTTAACATTAAAAAGTGCTATATTTTCTTTTTTTAAAATCTATTACCGTAAAAAAGAAAATCAATTAATAAATTATAGCATAAAAAAGCACCTGCTCTCGATGAAAACCCTTTTTGGTATGCACGCACTCTCCTTCCTGCTGCTAAACCCACTTCAGACCACAAGCACAATGCTGAATATTTGAAGGGGAACATTCATCATTTCTGAAGTACTAGGAGTGGCAGGTTACAACCTTGGACTCTGCAACCCCTTCACTCTAATCCTCTTACCGATGGCTGGTGGTCTTGAAAGTTGAGAATGACTGCTTGCTAACAGACGACTTGCTGCTCAGGTAATAGCTGCTCTCATAGAGATGCTGCTGCTGCTTCTCCTCATGTTGATGTTGATGCTGATGCTGCAGCTTCTGCGTCACTTGTAATGATGCTGACATCCTGACGGCCACTCCGCCAACTTATAATGACTGTCCTTTACTTTACCCGCTCTGTGAATCAATCTGACTGTTATTATTAAAGACTGGTTTCTCTACTGGAGGTTAGTCTAGTGCAGAGGCCGGTAATAAGGTAGTAGGAGCAGGGATTAAGGGATAAGAGAATTGGTTGCTTGTTAAAAATATGTTTTTAAACTTGTTATTGTGATTTTTTGTTTGTTTGTTTTGGGCAAGCAGCTTATGTGTTAGCTCTGGTTAAGATCTACTTTTGTGTTAAATGAAGCAGCAGGTGATAAACTGGTGGCTTTGATGATTTTTCAATTCAATTTAATTCAACTTTATTCATGTACTGTGAAATCACAGCAACAGTTGCCTCAAGGCAAAGTGAAGACCCTACAACAGAGAAAACCCTAACAATCATATTACCCCTTTGACCAAGTGCTTTGGCGACAGTGGGAAAGAAAAACTCCCTTTTAACAGGAAGAAACCTGTTAAAAGCCATCTGTCGTGACCGCTTAGGGTGGAGGGAGGAAGAAGACGGAAGGAAGTCTTGAACAATAATATGTAAATTTACAGTCAGATCATTTCCTGCAGTGGGCTTTTTAAATGTTTTGTGATGAACTGGACACCAAGCGTGGACAGATGGCAAGAACAAGTTAAAATATACTTACTGATTTTGCAGGTTTTGTGTAATTAAGCTACCAAATATCTATGTTCAGTACTTGCTTAATTGAGGGTTATTTAGTTATTCACATATCCGAGTTATAAAATGTCAGAATATTGTGACAATGGCAAATTCCTAAAGCCTAGATGGTTGTTTCTTCAAAATAAAAGTCCAACTTCAAAGGTTTTATGTTTATTGTAAGACAACATAAAGCAGATTGGAATGAATGAAATATTGATATTTTGTCTAATAATAATAATAATAATAATAATAATAATAATAATATCATCCAGCTGACCTTTCCCCATGTGAGGCCACTTAAGTTATTTTAGATATGGCTCGGGTTAAAAAGAAGAGCAGCTCCAGCTGGGAGGCAGGCAACAGTAACTATATGATCTGCAGTTTCTCCCAAATTACACAAAACTATTTTCTCCTTTTTATGTGCTTGAGCAACATCTACTACAAGCAGATTAAGCCATCCAGAGTTACACACTGAACTGGACTGTAAGCCATGAAGGCACAGAATGCATTAAAAACATTTTAACAAGTCCAGGTCATAAAAACGTAAAGTTTTGTAAGGTAAGGCTGGTGTTAATTGGAAGATTAGGATGACACTTCACTACAATGACACATGCAGGCTAATATACCAGAGCACTAGTTCTCAAAATGAACAAAACCCTGTTAGTAGGCTATGTAATAAAACTGATTAATTAAAACACATTTATAAACAAACTAAGTAAAAAATAAATAATCATAATCATACAGTGGAAGCCGGCCTAGGGCCTTATGGAGTCATGGTTTTAAATGATAACCAGAGTACATAAGTAATTCAGCTTATTTAAGAAAATATGCACACTCACTCACCACAAATTAAAAATCCACAATCGCTGAAAATAAGAGAAAATGTGTGTTAATCCAGAAGTAGCTAAAGCAAGTTGAGATCCAGGCAAAGCAGCAGGGTGAGGGGCAGTGGACAGGGCGGCAGTCCACAGAACAAAAATAATGCTGCCACTCGGCAGAATGCGCAAGACACCATCAGGACCTTTTAAGGCTGGGGCAGCTTTAAATTTAGACCATGAGACCATGAGACAGGCCAGCTGAGCTGAGGAGCTTCTTTTTGGCCTGGCCCTCCGCTGTGTACTGTACTTCAGGGGCATATGCAGGACTCCAGTGGTTTCACCCAGTTCACTGTAATAAAAGGCATATGAACTGCACCACAAACGGAAAAAAGAAGAAGAAAAAATGCCACTGATAAAAGAAAATACAATAGAGGACGGGTTCTCAGTCTTAAAAAACAAAAACCTGCTAACCTAGTACAATCATATCGTCCACCGACCAAATTTAACACCAATGCTGTTAAGTTTTAAACTTCACTTTCCCTTAGATTATAGTTTAGCTTATTTGTTTGAAATCGATCCGTTATTATTCCGCTGCGCAAAAAAATATTTAGTGGTTCAACTTCCTTATTAAATATTGAAAACAAAGACTCATTAACCATTTTGGCTAATTCAAACAAACGTCTTGGACATGCAAGTAATTGCTGCCACCTAGTGGTGACATATGTTGACTACATTATTAGTCGTCCGGACAAATAAAAAACATGATTCAATTAAGGCTGTACTTATAATCGTATCAGTGTATAAATCATGGATTTATTATTACCACAAGCAGTACGTAGGTCATTTCATCCAAAACAAGATGAGGAGAGGGACGTAAACAAAACCAAGGCGTGGAATATTCCAGACTGTTGGTTTCTTCCAACTTCACTCTCATTGGTCAGTTTAGGCAAGAGGAAATAAAACATTGATGTTCCTCTTCATCAGCTTGTGGATGCTGTGGTAGCTGTGTGTGCAGCTTTTTGGGCCTAGAAATTATACGTTTTTTCTAAGGTAGGCGATTTATTTTATGTTTATGAAGCTGCAGAGTTTGAGGACTAAGGACTCGTTTTTTTCTTGTGAATAAATCTCTGCTAGCTCGCTAAGGCTAGCCTGGTCAGTCAGTTATTTAGGTCAGCAAGGGGCTAGCTGGCAAAGCTGGCAAATAATTAAGGGGTTTTCTTCGCATTTTGTGTGATTCCTGCATTGCGCTATGTAGTGCGTGTGTGCTACAGCTCAAATATGAGTGATGTAAACAACATGTCAATACCTATATTTGCGTTATTGTTATGTTATTGCGTGACAGGTGAGCATAATTTGAAATTATATTGATCTAATAACATAAATATCCAGTAAACAAATGACAACTTAAGTGCTTTCGTATCACAAAACAAGTACCGAGTGCATATATCCGTTGTAAGTGATCATAGACTGAGCTAAACTCGTCAGACTCTTTAGTTAGGTTCACCCATTACTGGATTGGACCCCCTTTTGTCATAATTCGTTTAAATCTTCAAGGCATAAATTGAATAAGGTGCTTACAGAATTTCTCAGATATGCTGATCCATATAGACAGGATGCCATCACAATTTTTTTTCTGGTGCACATCCATGATGTCAAAACAAAGATAAAAAAAAAGATCGGAAGATGGGAAAACTGTGTCGGTAAAGGGGTGGACCTGATCAGCAACAATAGATCGGGTGTGGCTTTTGAATGAAGCTCAGGTAGTACTAAGGAGCCCAAAGTGTGCCAAGAAAATATCCACCACATCAATACACTGCGACCATCAGCCTGAGCTGTTGATACAAGGCAGGATAGATCCATGCTTGTTAATGTCAAATTCTGACCCTGCCATTTAAAAGCCACAGCAGAAAACTAGACTCATCAGAAAAGGGAAGATTTTTCCAGTCTTCTAGAGTTTTAGTGAGTCAGTGTGTAACTTGTTCAGGAGTGGCACTAGAAGTCCATTCTTCTGCTGTAGTCAATCTGCTTCAAGGTTCAATGCATTGTGTGTTCAGATTATTTTGGTTGTAACAAGTGGATATTTTAGTTACCGTTGTTTCCCTTTGATCTTGAAGCAGTCTGTTCATTGTCCTGTGACCTCTGGCAATAACAAGGCATTTTCACCCAAAGAACTGCTGCTCACTGGATATTTTCTCTTTTTCAGAGTGTTCTCTGTAAACCACAGAAATGGTTGTGTGGGGAAAATCCGAGTACATCATCTCATCTGGCACCAATGTCACAATGCCCCCCCCCCACGCTCAGTTTGAACTATATTTGACATTCCTAACCTAGTCTGCTTTGTTAAGAGACTGCACTGAGTTGGTGGCACATGATGTTCTTGTTGACTACGTACTTGTGTTAATGTAAAGTTGTACCTAACAAAGTGGCCACTGAGTGTATAATATTTAGCTGCTTTTAAAAAAAAGGCAAATTAGGAGGCTATATGACAATGTGATAGTAGTGTCAACCAAATTGACTTTAAATTGAATTACCAACATCTTGTAACCATGTTAATAAGTTTTCATTAGTATTAAATGCATTGCCTGAACTCACCTACATTAACCTTCCAGTTCATAGCTTGCACAGTAAATAATCTAAAGACACTTAATAGCCAGTGTAACCAAGGAACTTTCACCAGATGGAGAGCGTCAGTAATGAAGTCAAGATAAGAAAAAAATGTGAATGAATCTTTCATTTGAACGTGTTGCTTGATCCAAGCTGACAACTTTCATGCTCCTGTATTACAGGAGAGGGACTAACAACCTGCCAACATGTCAAGCAAAAGGGCCAAGGGAAAGAACACCAAAAAGCGTCCTCAGCGTGCCACCTCCAATGTGTTTGCCATGTTTGATCAGTCTCAAATCCAGGAGTTCAAAGAGGCTTTCAACATGATCGATCAAAACAGGGACGGCTTCATCGACAAAGAAGACCTTCATGACATGCTGGCCTCATTAGGTAAACTTGATTTATTTACACATATTTAGTTAGTGATAACGTCTTATGGAGTTAAAACTGCATTATTTGGGGCTCGTATTCAGAAGTTAAAAGATTTCAATCTTTTTCTAAAAACAAACCATTAAATGTGGTTAGCAGGTTAGAGTCACTCTGACCTTGAGCTTTTTCCCAGGTAAGAACCCCACAGATGAGTACCTGGAGGCCATGATGAATGAAGCACCTGGCCCAATCAACTTCACCATGTTCCTGACGATGTTCGGAGAGAAGCTGAACGGCACAGATCCAGAGGAAGTGATCCGTAACGCTTTCGCCTGTTTCGACGAGGAGGGCACAGGTGAGCTGATGTGTTCAACTGTTTAAGTTTCGCATCTTTTTATGTGAATTTGTCTCAGACTCTGGCATGTAGAGACATTGTTTTGTAGTAAGTGCTTAATTTGAAGATATCTGCTCAGTGCTAACATCAGGAAGCACCTGCAAGAGTGAAACTGTTTCTTCACACAGGTGTGATTCAGGAGGAGTGCCTGCGGGAGCTGCTCACCACTATGGGTGACAGGTTTACAGATGAAGAAGTGGACGAGCTCTTCCGCGAGGCGCCCATTGATAAAAAAGGAAATTTCAACTATGTAGCATTCACACGTATTCTGAAACACGGTGCAAAGGATAAGGATGACTAGTGGGTTCATTCTTTACTCCATGTCTATGTTTAATGAGTTTCCATTCAAGTTAGGAAAGCTATGTCCTGTAATTTGGCTCATGACAAAGCTTTACTGTGGTCTACTTTACCAACAAATGAAGCTCATTTGTTTAAGCTGCTTTTTGGACCTCTGGGTCCCTCCAACCAATCCTACTTTGAAAGCTTGTTTGCACATCTGTCATAACACTACTAAGGGGTCTCTATAAGCTAGTGGAGATGTATAAAAAGACCCCCACGGATAAAGCTGGAAATAAACTGACACCAGATGTCTGTTATTGCAAATGAATCAGCTGTATTTTATAGAATAAGCGTGGAGATTAAAATGTATTCTGAGAAGAATCACCAGTGCTCTTTATTTTTTTTAAAGTTTTATTTTAAAACCAAAGAATTCGATGTGATGCATCAGTCTTAGCACAAGATTCAAAGATACATGAACACTCAGGATCAGCCACTGGATTTAGGTGCTTGATTTCTTAGGATTCTTGATGTTGAATATAGTACATGCGATTGCGATATATGGACACTCCTGCAGTGGAGTTTTAATTTTGCTGTTATTGCTCTGGGCCAATCAGTTTAAAACCCAAATAAATTTTGCTTATCACATATGATGAAGAAAATTTGCCAGTCTCACAAGTGCCAGACTCATATTGGAAAATCCACTCATCAGTTTTCTTAACCACTTTTCACAATTCATGGTCATGGGGGGTGGGAGGCAGGGTACGCCTTGTACAAGGTCGCTAGTTGATTGCTTGTTCTCAAAAGACAGCATGGCAGGTAAAAGCCAGGGAACAGTGACCCATTCAGACCCATAAGGGCAATAAATGTTTATCACACAACATAATAAGGCTCTTGTGGCCCAATGGGAACAATCCACTATCCTGAGTGGATATTGCCTTTTGGAACTTCCCCAATTAAACAGTGTCTATATATTTCTGATCATAAATCATCCACTGCAGCTTGTGCACAATGAGGAACAAAACGCATTATGTTTTAGACATACAGGGCAACAAACGGGGCATTTTAAGATATTTGGCATTGACAGCTCTTTTAGCTAATTAAAATGGCATGTGATCCATTTCCTGCAAGTTCATGGTTAAAGTTTCTCAGTCGGCACTTTGCATCTGTCTCGAACCAGGAGGATTTGCTTGTGTTACGTATCCAACATCTGATAACCAGCATCCTTCTTTCCACTTGATCATTTGCTTCACACCAGCAATAAATAAACCAGGATCTGCTTCACACGTGAAGCTTTCTGCACACTTTGCCATTGCTCACAGAGCAATGTATAGAATAAGTGACTAAAGAGACTGCACTATTCTGCCAAAGCCAGGTTTTTTGACTGGATCTTTGATAGATGGTCTGATATACAAGCCTCGATTTTGTCGCACTGGGCGAGGAAATCCTGTGGACATATGGTAAAGATCAGACTTATTTTGATTCTCAATAGTTTTCAAATAAAGCATGATTGTTTTGTCAGAGGGAAAAACAAACACTAACCTGCACTGTTTTTATTAGTCCTTTTTTCTTCATTCTGCAGTCATTGAAATTTTCTGGAACACTCTGTTAAAAGAGGAGCAATTTGATGGTTTGCTATACATGACACACACGATTAAAGCAGACACTCAAAACAGATGCTTACGCTTAAAATAGCATTACCATAGCATCTATCTCCTCCAAGATCTTCATGAACTGCTCAGCTGCTATTTTTACTCTGTGGTCTAGTTTACCCAAGGCCTCTGCCTGGAGATCTTTGGCGAGAAAGCCCTGTGATAGGATAGGATAGGATAGGGGTGACAATAATACATTAGAAGATGGGACAAAAGAGAGCTGTGTAATATTTATTTATTTTCCTATATATTATCAAAAAACAAAAAGACCTATGATTGCTTACATTTTTCAGTCCAGTCAACTCCCCATCTACCTTCTCCAGCTTCTTGGCCATCTGCTCCACACATTTCTCAATGTCTTTGAGTTTCCTCAGTTCAGCTTCTTCCTCTGGGCTGTTCTGTTTAGAGATTATCACAGTGTTTTGCAAATGCACATATTCAGGCACCAGAGATGTAGCACATGTATAAATGTGCTTTACCCTCTTTCCAATCATCATGAGTTTGCAGCCTTCTTTTATTCCATAGCTGGAAAGGCTCTCTTCCATGTCTTTCAGCGACTTCCCTAAAATTAAAAAAGACAACTTTAAAACCTGATATTTTACATTAGGCCTCATTTGAGTGTGTAAAAAAAGGAAGACTAAAAGGCTACCTTTAAAGATAAGTTTCTGAGAGGCAGGTGGGACTCCGGTGGCTTGAGCGAGAGCATCTGACAGGTCTTTAACAGTGGGTCCTTTTCCATCCTCATGTCCTGTTAGCGTGATGCTGTGCTTAGAGGATCCTGAAATAGGAAAATAAATAAATATTACACAGCTCTCAAGCTATTAAGGATTGGGAGTTATCATTGTCACCCTTTTGTCTTCTATCGGTGTTATTCAGAAAGTAAATGTCACCTACCAGGATTAAAAAAACAATAATAAAAAAAGTCTTTAAAAGTATTTGCACCCATCCAATTACAGAACATGCGGCATATCTCGGAAACTATCGCGCACGTTTGGTTCAATTTTTAACGATGGGTTGCAAAATTTTGTTTCACTATCGTGTGAGGAAAAATAATTACAAAACATTTAACAAGCGATTGGCAACAATACAATTTCTCTCAGCAGCCCTCCTGTTTCCCAAATGTGCTGTAAAGTGTCTTCAAACGAAACTAATTACAACAGCTACACAATTCTTCATAAACGTGTTTAATAAATGCTGATATTTACAGTAGTTTATATATTTAATTTGTTATTGAAGAACAACACATAACCAGCGGGATTCAAGTTAAAGCTACATAACCACACAGTCTGTGGAGAAGAGCTACAGAAGCTGAGCCGTTTCTAGCTAGCTTTAGCCACAACAAAACCCAATTTTTACTTATATTTTGTGGTGATTATGGTGTAGTTTAAAGCCGAAATCTTATTACCGTATGCGACTGTCATAGTTATCGTTTGCTCCGACATTTTGCTTTCCGGCGACCTTAAATCACAACATCAAACGCAAAGCTAACTGTTGCTTATTGCTAACTACTTCCGGTGTTACAGTTTAACTGGTGATCGCGTTAAGTGGTGTTATTCCATATGTTCCTCTCGCAGAGAATCCACGAAAAATAGCCCAGGGCTACCAGTGTGTGTAATGTTTGACTGGATTAAAAATGTGGCTTACCAAAAATAATTTATATGTAATAAGTTAATTAACAACAAATAAATAAAATCACCAGTTCATGCAGATACACACGCACATTGCTGTTCTAAATACATCTTTGGGGATCTGCCCGGGGTCATCAGGGATTTGGGGTCTTTCAATATCCTACACCCTCTCTCAGGTGACCAAGGCAAGATTATCTGCTAAAAAATGATTTCTGATATTTAAATTGTTGGCCTATAATCCATTCATGAGAGACATATCTCAAACACGTCTCTCATCAATGGTATCAAGTAATTTTGAGCCTGAAAGAACATTCCTGTCACAACAAAGAAGCTGTAAGTCACTTTTACATATTATTATTTATGCTGGAATAAAGTGTAATTGAGACTCCTAAATGTCTTTTTCAAGAGAAATATGGCCAAGAGTGCATCAGAAATTAATTGGATTAATTATATTTTACCACACAGAGTAGATACAACAATGAGAATATCTTGATGCATGCTCAGTCATCCAGGTAGGTAAATCCCCAAAAGCTTTTCAGTAGGAGAGCCGTTTCGTCACTCATCCAAGTGACTACTTTAGTCTCAGCTGACTTTAGGTTGATCAATGGTCATGAGAATTTACATATTAATGATCAATTAACTGACCTCCTAGCCCATTGTTCCTTCAGTGGTGCTAGTTTCAGTCATTATGCAAATGTGCTGTTTATAAGATTGGGGAAACCTAAAGTCAGTTGGGACTGAAGAAGTCACTTGGATGAGCGACCTTACAAAACTTTAGTCATTCAAACCTTTTACAACAAGAGGTGTCAATGTATGTGACGAATCTACGACTAGACATATCTGGACCTACTACTTTTGTGGTTCTTCACCGATCAGCACGACCACCAGTTAAGCTTGAACACCGGAAGTACCCCCTTTTTTCTTTTCTTTCACTTTTTTAAATGCAATTTTACTTATTTAATATTGAATTTATTATTTAAATTATTTGACTTTTTATTTATTTACTTGTTTAAAAAAGCGGAACAGCAAATACAAGCACAACAGCTGCACACAAAAGTGATAAAACGCGAGCCGAAGTCTACAGCGCAACTTGAAACTCTTCGATGAAACTCTGCTGACAGAGGTAAATACATTTAGCTTAAGTGTGTAGAGTTATCCTACAGTAAAGCTTTTTAAAGTCTGTATAATTGATGTCTGTATGTATAACGTGTCAGGTCATGTTGCGCCAGGGGGACTCTCCCAACCGGCTCTGTGGCGCAATGGATAGCGCATTGGACTTCTAGTCAAGCTCTTGAGAGGTGATTCAAAGGTTGTGGGTTCGAGTCCCACCAGAGTCGCATTTTTAACCTGACCATCTGTCCTCCGAATCCTCTCAATACCGTTACTAGTCTAAGTCACGGTTACTCGTTAATTGCTGATATCATGCTTACATGATGTTCCTGAATATGTCTTTGGTTATGTGCCCGAGCTCATCGGTGCTTTCGTGTCTTTCACATTATCTCATTCCAGTCTACCACATCTGAGGATCAAGGGCTAAAAACAAAAGTGTCATTGAGATTAAAAAACGTGATGACAGACGTGGCCAGTGGGGGAGCAGACATTGCAACAATTATAACATTACAAGTCTATAATGATTTTTTACGTGGCCAAAATAGGTCTCAATTCATGATGTTAAACAACACAAAACAGATAAAATAACGCAGAGTCGTGATATGTTTAGCTGTTTCGCAAATGTAGTTTCTGTATCAGCGCTAACAAAGGTTGTAGGTTCGTGTCCCACAGAGCACATGTGTAACTCGATTGCTGGTAATACCAGGCTGTTTCCAAATCACTTCAATGATGTCCTTATAAGTGAAGAACAGTTACTTGTTAACTGTGAGTAAAAGATTATTTGTACCAGGGTGAAAATCCTTTGTAAGGCACTTTTAGGGATTTGCTTGAGGTGCTGAGGTTTAAAGTAACTATATAAGATATTTACAATTCAAGTCGATTTAGTTTTATTTACGCATCACTAAACCCAAACAACAGTCGCCTCAAAGTGCTTTATATTGTAAGATAGACCCAATAATACAAACATCCACTGGTCACTTATGTGGTATATATTAGGTATATTAGGCCATTGTTTGTGAATGCAAATATGTAGTCAGCCAATCAAATGGCAGTAATGCGAAAAATGGCCTCAATCTAAAAAAATGAGACTTCAATCTGAAACACAATTGGAAACATAAATACATTTTGGACCTTTAACTGTAATTTCTATTTACATGACAGTTTGGGCAGAACATTTCCCATAATTAGATTTTTCTTTTTCTTTTTACAATTTAAGCCCAAAGAGTTGTGCTGACACATTTGCTTCATTATGTACAGCAGATTTTCTTTATCATGGAGAGAAAAACAAGACGCATTGTTTAAACTGCACTTCTTATACTGAGATATCTCAGAGTAAGTAGTGCACTTAAACTACTTTATACTGAGAGAAAGGGGCGTTTCACTGGTATGGCCCTACTTAAGTAAATTTGAATGTGGTATGTTGTTGCTGCCAGACGGGCTAGTATGAGTATTTCAGAAACTGTTGATTCACTGGGATTTCTCCACACAACCATCAGGGTTTATAGAGAATGGTTCAAAAAAGAGAAAACATCCAGTGAGCGACAATTC